GTGCTGGACACTTTTTCTCCCTAGGTGCAGCACTTTGCATTTCTCCTTGTTAAATTGCATTCTATTGTTTTCTGCCCATTTGTCCAACCTGTCCAGGTCTGCCTGTAGTTGTTCCCTGCCCTCCGGTGTGTCCACTTCTCTCCACAGTTTTGTATCATCCACAGACTTGGACAGAGTACACTTTACTACCTTGTCCAAGTCACTGATGAAGACATTGAAGAGTATCAGTCCAAGGACCAAGCCCTGCGGGACCCCACTGCCCATGTCCTTCCAGGTCGATACCAACCCATCCACCACCACTTTCTGGGTACAACCCTCTACACAGTCCAGTGGGTGGCAAATTGGCTAATCATCCAAGTCACAGCCTCTTAATTTGTTCACATGACTTGAATTGCTGTCCCCGATTCGGGCTGTATCCGAATCAAATATGGCCCTTTTTGCACACCCGTAATTACTATGAGATAACAGACAAATCTTTACTTACTGTGTTTTAGATGTTCTAGACTACAGCTTTAGCTATAATGATTTATCCTTTCAACAATACTATTAAAACTTTATCTGTTAATCCTTCCAGTGGATAGTTGTGTACTCTCTGAGTTGTCTTAAATCTTGGGAACTAATAAAACGATACTCTATAGTATTATGCCACTCCTGTGTTTATGTACATATGTATTCTGCCTGCGTGAGGTGTTCAAAAATACTTTGAGTATTAAAGAACTTTCATCTCTTTTTTCTTGGCTGCTCAAAAAAAAATCACACCTAAAGAAATAACGCACTGGATAGATGCGAGAGAGATGCATATTTTTACTAAGAGTTCTGCATCTGAAGTACTATTGCTGCATTATGTGCCAGCTTATTTTACAATAGTTTTCTTAGACCCTGTGAATAAGTTAATATGCAAGAATATTTTAAATATGACTTGTTGGAATTCAATTCCAAAACCTGTGCTATCTACCCTTTCCCAAGTTTGTTCTTTTTTTTTTTAAGGATGTGTTGTAGTGCCCAGGACAACTAGTTGCTTCAAGAAATTTAGGCCATGCTTGTTTATACTTTTAAGATTTGTAAGAATACTGGGAAAATCTTTCTGTGAAAAGCACCATTGGGTAACTGATTAAAATAACCCCAAAAGAAAATTAATAGAATATCAATGTGTTTTTATTAATATACTGGCTGTCAAATGGTTTAATATAATTTATTGTACTAAAGTCATACACAGTATTGCCTACTACATGTATGTAGATGTACTAATTTAAAGAATACCAGTTTTGAAAGTATTGAGGTGGGTTGTAAATTAATCTTTGTCCTCATTAAGGTTAGTTGCTTTGTTGTTCATGCTATGTTGTTTAATTTCAGATACAAAGATTTTGCAGTATTATTTTAATCTGGGATTGCAGGTAAGTGCTTTTCAAATGACTGGTAAATTGCCTGTAAAATGTCACCTGTCTTGACAGATGCATTGATGTGTCTGAATAAGGCTTTTAAGTTCTGAATTTGCTTCCTGTGTACTTGGCTGTTAACATGCATGTGTGCATGGAGGACACTGAAGAACATAGCAGGAAGTAAAGTTGTGACTTGTGGTGAATTCATGAATTGCATTATTACATGTAGCATTCTGTTTTTTTATTAACATGGCTGGATAAGAGTTGTTCTTCCTGTTGAAAAGGAAAATGTTAAGCACAAGAGTTAGGAGCTTTATCAAGAGTCTGTTATAATCAGTAGGGAAACTGCTTTGGGTGTCACCAGTCTTGGCCAGTGTAGCATAGTGAGTCGGCAACAATCATGGAAGGACCCCAGAGCTAGATTCTCCTGGAGTTTCAAGGCCATAACACCACCACCCTCCCAGCCTCTGTACAACCAACCATATGGTCTAGTTGAGTTCAGAGATGAGATTCTGACCAGTATTCATTGGGAATGGGCCCAGTGTTAAAGGCACCTCTCGATTTTGTTTCCAGCTCCTTGAGTGAGCAGAGGGGTCTTGGCACATCTCCGGAATAAGCAGTTACAAAATGGAATAAGACCATCTACATCAGAGGTGCCTAGTACTCGGCAGCAGCGAGTAACTTCAGTACTGGACTTGCATGAACACAAGAGGGCAGAATTAATAGATGATACTGATGTGGGGAAAAGGAAGTAAAGGATGTTGTCTCATTTTGAAATAGAAATATAGCAAATTTACCATCTCTCCCAGTATGATAAAATCAGCTTGATTTTTATCAAACCTGAAGAGCTTTTTGATCTTTCATGAGGCAATATCCAAGGAGACCAAGGTATAGTTGTAAAAGTACAGTATTTTTAATGGTTGTGATGACTTAGCAGTCTGTACATGGATTACCTTGCAGCATGTATGTTAAAGGGTGGGGGGGGGGGGGAAAA